ACCATTTTGCCCAACTCACACCACACTCTTCCGCGGTATACGCAGTATCTTTGTCCATGGTCTGGCGCTTGTCTGGCGTTATGGCGTATGGTTGATGATAGATGATACGATGGACGTGGATCACACACAGCTTGTATATAGTCTTTTGTAAAGACAGACACCCTACTCCGCTCATTGGCTGGCTGAGATGCTAGTGAGCTTCCATGATGCCGATTATGCGCCTCGGCGGTAATGGTTGACTGCAATACAATCCACGCTCGACATTTCATCTCTCTCAAGGATTTGAAGGTTGGGTGTGTTCTACGAGATCTAGTATCTTCTTCGCTTTTGCCACACAATTGTTGCTCCCACACTTGATGCAACTGCATTGCTCCGCCCGGATTCCATAACTTCCATACCCTCCATATGTATGCCTCTTAGATCTGCTCAAACCCCGTCCTTGGAATCTTCTTCAAAAACCACCTTGCTCCTCACGAGTGCCTCCACCTTCTGAATGCCGTCGGTAATCGAGGGAGTATTGTCGCTCTGCCACAGCCTCCCGGCGAATGTAAATTCGCCTTTGCATTTAAATACGATAGACTCGTCACAGCTATCATGTATACGCCCAAGAAGCCGCGCGATTGTATCATCGTTTATAGGACTGAACATGGCTCCCCGACAATTGACCACAACATTTACGTATCGCAGGTTCGAAAGTCCGTGGCTCCCCTTGGAGATCATTGACAGAGTTTCCCAGTCGGTATAGAAACCCAGAATGACGTCTACCACAATCTTCCGAATCAACTCACAAGCGATTGGGAACAGATCGCGACCCGAAGGTCTTGTATGATGGCGCGGTATTCGGAAGGTGTTTTGGCCGTAGAATATCTCCTTTGCAAGATCGGCGATTTCGGGAGAGATACGGAGATGGTGGTCGAGAGCCGGCAGAACATTCTTTTCGTACCGGTCGACTGTGTCGCGAAATGCCAGGTTGTAGCTTAGTATCTGAACTTTCAGTTCTGTGGGAAGCTTGGTCCAACCGGTAGCGAAAGACGTGTCGAGCGGCTGGGAAGGTATGAGCCATGTATCGTGGTGAGGTCGGAGGTATACCGCGTTGGTGCAGGTCAATTGTGTGACGCTCTTGATGATGGTACTAGCACTGACTACATGTAACGCCGAGGGCGCGCTGACCCAAAGCCATGATCCTGCAGGCATTTGAAGCGGTGTGCGAATGCAGAGAGGCGAGTCTTGGGACAGACCGAGCGCAGCCGTACATGAGGCAGATGGTAGTGAGCAATCTGGCGGCTCTGTAGTTCCGAAAGCGTGGGCACGCGATGGTGTTTGACTGGTATGGAAGTAAATTACATCCATGGCTTGTATTTTCGAGAGGCAAGTAGAAGCTAGAGGGGGTAGTGTGGGAGTGCGTGGTGGATTGCCCGGTTTGTAAGGAACTGAGGTGCTCCAGTCTGCTAACGGCGAAGAAGCAAATATGTAAGGGTTAGGCGCCTTGAAAGTGATTAGGCAGTAGCGTAGAAAGCAGAAAGCAACTCGGGCTTCAATTGCACGAACACAATCTTCACTCCGAAGCCCACAGAATCGCGAAATATCTCTCTCACGCCACCATCAGGGAATTTGTTTACCCCATCGTGTAGATGAAAGCTTTTTTTCGAATAAAAGAATAGATTTGCATTGAAGCCTTCACTCATTACAGTTTTGAGGCGCGAGGCCTCGAATGGACTTAATTCGAGCGCCTAGAATTCACAAGCTGTATGTCAAGAGCCGTGTAAACTACGATTCAATATGAACAACATACAAATGCGCTGTGAATTGTACTACAATCATTGTGAGTGGTCAGCTTCACAGCGAGTAGATACCAATATAAGTCCGAGTTTTATACCAAGATGGAGTTATATAACTAACCTCAGCCTTTGCTCTTGAGGCTCATCGCGCCTTTCAGAGACATCCTAAAAGCAATCGTATCTTCGCAGTACTCCTTGAGAATAAGGTGCACATACTGCACGAGCCATGTCCGCCCCAACCCCAGAGACAACATCAGCGCATGCACAAGGAAAGACTTCAGGGCAAGATGAGGAATTTGAAGAAGTGATAGAAATCCACTGGCCTATGGATATACCCAGACAAGCTAGTTTCGCCGTGTACTCGTCCCAGCCGTTAAACATATCGGCACCCTGCTCGATGCAAATACACGCGCTTACACCGATCCATATTCAATCCGACAGCAAACTTACGATTTCGCCGGCTGGCCCCGCGACACCAGGATTCGCAAGGGGCTGGAGCAAGTTACCGACTGAACTGAAACTCGAGATACTTCGCTATAACCTCCTGTATCCCTCTCCACTCTGGCCAGCAAACATCAACACCGTAATACGCAGGGAGCTGTTCCCGTACCTGAGGATGACACCAGACATCGCTGAGATGGCCAAATCCGTATTCTACCAAGAGAACAAGTTCGTCATGCAGTTCACCAACTCGCTACATTTTCCAAACTCGATACTGGCGAAGCCTCCCATGGGTATACGGCCTCAGCTCCGTCATATCACTTTCCAGACTCGTCTGTGTGAATTCGACTGGCAAATACTACGAGCAATGTCGGGAAAAGATCGTGCTGGTTTCACGGGATTGATTCATCTCAAAGTGAGATATTTGTCAGGTGAGGATGCAGCAATCCTCGAACTTGCTAAGGATGACTTTCTACGGGGGCCCATGTCTTTCGACGAGTGCTATTTATTGCGCCGAGGAGAACCCGTGAATCTGCCGTTTGACGGCGTAGTCACGTTTGATCGATCGGGGTTTGTGGGGCGTCGAAACCCTGAGGAGGATGAAGCGCAATGGGAATTGACGCGTCGCGTCGAAGGGTTTGTGACGAGGGATATTACTTTCACTAAATAACAAGCGTGACATGTAGTGTAGACTACTGAAATTGGATTGATTCATGATAAGCGTGCACGACACCTGTATTGAGTTAGATGACTGCGGTTCCGGCGATGCCTGACGGGGACCTCGGAAAGGTGACGATGTGTGACGTCATCACCCGATTATCTTATCGCCAGCCCCCTTCACACCCCCGCTACTGCTGGCGAAGGACTAGCTGAACCCAAATTCACTCCAAGCTCTAGATATTAAAAAAAAACTTGAGACCACGTTGTACATAGTTGGTCAAGCGATCAAACAGCATCGCGAGAAACAGCACCCAAAATGGTGCTTGGTACCTAAGCACATCAGACATAGGTAGGTAATGATTGGCGTTGGCTAGGAGCTAATACCAATGGTGGGATAGCGATTTGGGTAAAACAAATACAGTAACGAAATACATCTTGCAGCAAACGAAGTGCAGACCGCAATGGTAATGCAATTGGTAAAAGAGCAAGCCAAGATTCGTGCACTTCGCGCTCTCCAACCATACTACGTACTAACCATACCAAGTGACAACTCTACTATTTCCGGAGCATGCGCTGCAACGTCTCTTGGATGATTTTCGCGCAAGAACCACCACAAATACCCGATCCGTCGCCACCCGAGCATTCCATACCTCGGACCTCAACCACAATCTTTTTCGCATCGACGTTGCAGGATGTACCTCGGAGCCCCTTTCTAGCATCTTTGCGGCGCTGTTTGAGTGTAAGTCCACACCAAAGCCCTGATGAATAACGACCCCTAGCCATGAAGCAAGTCTCGTCTTTACCATCATTTTCAAGAGTGACGATGATCTTGAGCAACTGGGGGTGGAAGTACTGCTGCCAGCGCACGGGATCTGAGGCAGGGGTACCCTCGGGGATACGGGTGTCATCAGACGTGCATTTACCCAAAGTCAACGGGATCTGGGACGGCTTCCATCTGTTGGGGACTAGGAACAGCCAGTCGCCATCTAGCTTGAAGATATCTTGAAGGTACCGAGGGTCGCCATTGTAGCGCTCCGGCTGAAATCGCAGATCTAAAGTCAAGTTACGCACCAGTGAGGCGGTTGGCGGACTTGGATACATGAAGTTATACATCGCTCTACGAGGATTGAAGAGTAGCGTGTTCGTTTTCGATAGCCCGATGACAAATTCATTCTCCTTCCAGTAGACATCCATAGCTAGGTCGTATAGCCGTTTGTTGATGCTAGCAAGTCGAATGAGACGAACCATGTACACTGAGTGCATTAGGGCCGTGATGGGTTTGTCAAATACAAGACAATATCCAAGAATTTGCATCAACAGCTCATTGGATAAGGCTAGAAATTGCGACGGGACGATACTGGTTTGCGTCATTTCCGCTGACATTTCGTGAGACTTGGAAGGAAAGACGCCTTGAAGGGCTCGTATAGGCTCTGTAATTATTTCTGATGTGCTATGCTGTGAAAGTCGAGATGTCGAATGAATGAAACAAAACGGTGTTTGATTGAGATTGCTGGTGGGCTGCTTCTCGGCTCGCACGGTGAAAGAACTACACCCGTGGGAAAGAGGTTTATATGTAGTAGAGGGATGGGCACGCCCTTTGTGCACTGTGTGCATTCACCCAAAGCCTAGACGGACGTCCAATGTGAAAGCTCGTTCAGCGTCCGCAGGGTTGACTTCGTTTCACTCGTACGCAATGAACAACTGCGTAGAATACATGGGTAGACCCCAAGTCAATCTGACGCCTTTCAGCAACGTGTCTGCTTGCCTTGACTTCACCGTACCGGGCTCAACTGTGGCCATTCAGATAAATATGTGCTGAATTTGCTCCCTCAATCTTCCCCAGTCTCTCCGAACAACTACTCTTATCCACCACCGAGCAGAACACCACAGCATGAACGCCGACAAAGAAACCAACGCAGGGTCTTTCAAGGATAGTAAGTCTTTCTCTTTCATCACCCTCCATCTCGCACACTAACGAGTTTAGCGAGCATGTGCGATGAGGCCTCCTCTGCTCCTGCATCTTGGAATACTTTACCAGAGGAGCTGAAACTGGCGACCCTTGGCCACCGACTCCACATTAATGGTAATCTCACGCAATTAACTCATCCCATCCGTGCAACAATGGCTGGCTATGAGGCTTTGCTCCTCACCAGCAAAGAGATGAATAGACTAGCCAAGATTTCGTGGGGAGAGAACCAATTCCTCCTCTCTTGGCCGAGCGCTGGCCTACAATACCCGCGACCGCCCACGTCTCTCGCAGAACAGATTCGGAACTTAACCATCGAGATCTTCGTGGATTGCCGACTAGGTTGGAAAAGGATGAATGAAGACAAATTCCCGTACTCATGGGATGTCCTCCTCGACACCGAAAAGAGCTCCAGACTGCGTCGAGCAACACTGAAGAAGCTTAGAGGGAGCGAGAATCCGGCCGTCGCCTGGCAGTCAGAGTTTCCCGCCCTGAAGGAGCTCACAGTCGAGATTATACTCGCTGGGGATCTAGATGGCTACCACAACGACAGAAACAAGATCGGTAGGATTCACGGCTGCAGGGACAAGGAAAAAATCGAAGAGCACTTCGAAGGCTGTCGTACATATCTCAGCACCCGCAAGCTTACAGTCAAGGTCCGTGGTTTCAAATGCGGAGACTATTCAACCGATGGAGACGCTGGTCCCAACACCAAAGCCTGTCCCAATGGGTGCGCTGAGAGGGTCGCGACATGCTTTGCGGATCTCGTCGAAATCAAGGATTAAACTGAGCGTTTGGACGAGAAGGACGATGGCGAGGTCCTTTGGGGACGTTGGTATGGAACGGTAGTCTTGGAAAAAGTGTGTCGACTTAGTAAGCTCAGAGCTCGTGAGGGGAATAGGACAGTTGGCTAGATGTTTCCACAGCCGACTTGGTTCATGGGAAGAAGTTCACGGTTGACAGAACAGTGCGTTGATGCCACTGCTGTACATTAAGTCCAATGCACTAGGTAGCGCCTGTCTTACACGATACGTGCTAGCCCTCACTGTCGAACACCACTTTGCTTCTTCCCTGTGTACCTTCATCGACCGCACTTCCAACCTTTCTGACCACTTCTTTGTCGAAAAAGGCAACACCTAGCTCTTGACTTGTGAACCAGCTCGCCCGGTCCAGGTTTCCAGAGCCTAAGACTAATACTTCCTCGTCAACGATGGTCATCTTGAGATGTGACTGTTGAGGCTCTCCTGCTTCGTTACCCCTCTTCTTGGGTCCACCGATCGGCTCGAAGTATGAGACATGTAGGCGACCGGGCTTAGGAGTCGCCATAGCTGCTTCCTCATCGTTCGAATTGCCACCGTCGTGGGCCAGCTGTTGATAGCGTTTGATCAGCTTCTTGATGCAGCGTGATGTTGTGGTTCCTGCTGTGACCAACTGCTCGAGTATCATGAGACGTTCGGAGGTCAAAATGCGTACGTCGATGCCGCGTGCAAGTGCTCTGAGTATGGCGGACAGAACAGGTGGCGCAGTGACATTTGGCGTCTGAATACGGATGCTTCTTTCAGCCTTTGCAAAGAGTGTGAGTATGAAAACGTTCAGAGGCGTTGGCGGAGCTCGAAGGGTATCTTGAGCTCCAACGAAACTAAAGCGCGGATTACGACGGTGTGGGCTGGGAAGGAAGACGGTATGTATACTGCGAGTCGACAGTAGTGCAGAGGATTTCAGCGCACCGTGAAGCTTTACCGCAGCGCTGTCGGGAACGTCGAGACTGGTCGGAACATCCTCCCGCCGCTCCCAGAAAGTACGATAGAATTTGAGGAACTGTTCGACAACAGGTCCAGTAAGGGTGACGGCACCCTCGAACCATTCTTCCCAGCTGATGTTGCAACTTGGTAATACTGCGGTCTTCCGATCGACGATGATGAACTTGGGATGCATGACACTGAACGGTAATATGAATATGGACTTGATCTCGAGGTCCAGTCCATTGAGCTCAGACGGGTCAGGCAAGCCCAACTTCTTCACCCATGCTGAAGGCGGATACGTCTGTCCTGAAGTGGCCTGCTTGTGAAATAGCTTCTGAAAGACCGAGCTGGAAGAAAAGCAAAGTCGAACTCTGATCTTGTCCGTCCCTCTCCTCACAGCCTTGTCGGAAAGTCTTCTCAGAACCTCGTTCAGTGTTTCTAGAGTTGTCGATCTAGCCCAGAAGCAAGTCACCAGAATAAGCTCGCGGCTAGTAGACTCAAGGAGAGGCACTAATGAGTCGTAGATTGCAGATCCAGTTCCAGTCATGAAAGTGTCGAGATTAGAGGTGGTGATCAGGGACCGCGGATAGCGGGCATAGTAGCTTGGGTCATCGGTCGCATTGGCCGGCGCCGCAGCATCCAGGGCTGAGATGAAGGGCTCGTTGAAGCTAGATACGACAGGGGATGGTGTTGTCGGTGCCATGGTCCTCGTATTCGAGATTCCCGTTCAGAGCAGCGATGCAGCAGTGATGGAGAGGGAGTGGTAGCGAGATTCGACTGTTGATGGATGACGTCGGGTCGGACCTGTCGCGACTGCCATGAGGTAGACGCGTCAAGACTAGGCCTCATCCGGAAAGCTCGGCAGGGATCATCGGGGAAGCTTCAATCCCCGCCAAAATTTCGGAAGCTCTTCGCAGTAGACAACATCACCAACACCCCCGCGATATCACACGAAGGCAGCCTGTAGTGGTTCAAGACGATTGATTGCAACCGGATCGATCGATCATATACTCCACTCCTTCGAGACAGAACGCGCCGTCCGCACAGGCGCATCCTTCACCATGCCAATCTCCATCCTCCCACCCAGCGCACCTCTCCCACCACGGCGCGATGCGCAAGACGACTACGACGACTCCGATGTCGAAATGGAAGACGATGACTTCGCGACTTCCGGCTCAAAATCGATAGTAACGCCCGGCGAACACATAACCTCAGATCCTCAATGGATGCGCGGCCACGGCACTTACATCCCAAGCCTCCCTCCCTCCTCCACCACGATAATATCGACCGTCGCTGGTACCCTGCACAAGACCAACAAACTGCTTTCCGTACAACCGCTGCGCGCTCGATACCAACCCGAGATTGGCGACTTGGTCGTAGGACGCATAATGACAGTGGGAACCAAGAAGTGGAACGTGGACATCGCAGCACCAATGCACGCAAACCTGCCTTTGTCAAGTATAAATTTGCCCGGTGGAGTGTTGCGCCGCAGAACCACAGTAGACGAACTGAACATTCGGACATTCTTCCAAGAAGGCGATTTACTCGTCGCCGAAGTGCAGAGTCTGCACCAAGACGGCACAGCATCCCTCCACACACGATCGCTCAAATACGGAAAACTGCGGAACGGCTTGTTCACCAGTCTGAGTGGCGCAGGAGGTGGCATACTGAGTCGCAAGGGTGGTGTAGTGAGGAGTAGGCGGCAGGTGTTCACGCTGAACACCGCGGCAGGCGAGATCGACATTGTACTTGGTGTCAACGGATACATCTTCATCAGCAAACACATCGCGACGAATGCGGACCCGAAAGAGGTGGGTATCAACAGGCTAGACGAAAGCGTAACCGAGACGCTGTACTCAAGCCAGAACGACGAGATCGAGCCAGCTGTTATGCGGGAGATTACCAGGGTCAGCACACTGATCAGGGGATTAGTAGCATGTGGCGCGAAGGTGGATGAGGATATGATCGTCAAGGTATATGACGGCGCGGTTGAGCTTGAGGCAGAAGAGCAAAGTCTAGGTGGTGTGGAGAGGGGCATTGGCGCCAAAGGTGTCGTAGAAGCCGTGCTTGGACGTATGGAGGTGGAGGCCGCCGGCTGAGGATAGACGAAGTTCGAGGCATCCAAAAATATTCAGAAGTAAAAGACATCGGCATGTCATGCCGCTCAAGCATCGAATCTATGCGTCCTGACGGGCTGTACCCGCCGAGTCGTCAACGAGTACCTGTAGCAATCATTACGCTGTAACATGTAGTCACTTGCCAGAAGTGTTCTAGCAACAGCACTCACGGAGCGCACACAGATCGCGCACGCCGAACAGAATTGTAAAGATAGTCAATCATACATTACTCATTGTGCAGTGAACACATAATACCCCATCTAAAATCGTATATGTAAAACATCGGCCCTGTATAAAGCGAGCGGAGAAAAAAAAGTCTCGACATGAACAAAACTCCGAAAGTCGGTAGGCACACTGCCAATTACCCTTCCATGACCAGCAGGCCCTCCCTCTCCAACCTCCTCAGACTGTCGATATCACCACCGGCCTCTATTACAGCCTTCATAGCCGCTCGACTAAGCTTCCTGCGCTTATCGGCGGCTTCCTTCTCTCGTCGAGCCTTTGTCTTGCTGGAGCCGCTGGGTGCGACACCTGTGAGGATTTTGCGGCTGTCGTCTGGCGTGAAGTTGACGAAGCCGACACCGCCACTGTTCACGCTCGTCTGCCGTGAGGACTGCTGGGAAGAATGGTTAGACTTGCGTCTTGACGATTGGCTAGAGCGATGATGGCTTGATGACTTGGAGCGATGGAAGCGGGGTTCGACGCGTGGTGAGGGAGAGCGCGAGACTGGTTGACTGGTGGACAGCACTTGAGGTTGCGCGTAATGGTGTGATGGTCTGTTGTACATGGCACCATAGCTAGCCATATCGAACGAGGCTGAGGCTCTGGGGGTCGAATAGCTATCGTTCATAGCGCCGAAGTCGAATGCGGCTGAGTCGTAAGAGATCCCTAGTCCTTCTAACCTCACATTCTGGCTCGTAGATCGCAGATTGCTTTGACCAAAGCTGGTAGAGTATGGCGGCTGAACGGTGGGGTCGTTCTCATTCCACCAACCTGCTGTCTCAAGGCTGTTGCTAGTGTCGCACGAGGCTGAGAAACTAGGATCCAAAGCCGGCGAGGTGTCAGAGCCCCATGTTGTCACGGGTAATTGGAGAGAGGAAGGTGGGGTCTGCAAGGCTGAGAGAGCCGCACTGGACGTGCTAGAAGAGCAATAGGCGAGTCCCATGTTAGCGTTGAAGCCGCTGTCAGGGTTGCTGGAATTTTCCATTGCTGGCGATGCAGATGGAGTTAATTGGTAGTTGGTATAGTTCGACCTGTTGTTGGGCAGGCTCGAATAGTCATTAGTGTAAGCCTGATGGTGATAATGGGCAACACCGCCATTGTTGCGCTCTTGCTGATCCAGATTGGACGAAAGCGGGGGCGAAGCGATACCATGTGACGAGGCTCTCCCGAAAGATTCTGTCGGGCTGTCCGTCTTGCGAGTCCACGCATTCGCGATGGTCGATTGGAATTGAGATGATTGCATCATCTTGGCCGAGACTGAAGGATGTGGTCTCTTCGTAGACTTGGTGATGCCGCGATACTTCGGTTGACCGTGAGAGGAAAGGCTCTTTTTGACAGATCGTCCAGAAGGGTGGGGTCGAGATGTAGGAGGCTGAGAGGCGGACCTTGAATGATTCCTCTCCAGCTCAAAGAGATCTTCGAAGCTTAACAACTCGGAGTCGCTACGAGAATCAATGCCGGAAGATGATGTAACATAGAAAGAGGAGGCAGGATCATCAGATCGAAACGAGGTTGCGTTTTGTGCGTACTTTTCGAGAGCCTTGTGCCAAGCAGCCTGTGTTTCCCGATCGAGTATAGGCTCAGGACCAAAGCATTCGCTTCCATTTGACAAAGACGATTCGAAATGATGCGTCGTGTTATCTGAACTGGATTGCTTAGGCGTTCGGTCATTGAAATGATTGAGTAAATCTGTCTCGACATATTGTTCGAATAAGCGGTCCAGGTCGACTGCTTCGACCTCTTTGTCGCTGGTCGGCCGTATTGGCATAGTGTCGGTAGAGTGTTGATGTTATAGCAATGAAAGGAAGTAGGTTTGCAGCGTATTTGGTTATGTTGACCGACAATGGATAGGCGAGCGAGTGACGTTGAAGGATGTAGCAGAATTGGTGGCGAGTAAAGGCAATAAGTAACACGGTACTTGTACCTGACTGATGGATACGCTGTGGTGGTTACAGGCCTGCACGAACTACTTCTGTAACGTGCCAATGATGCACCGTAACAAACATGCTAGACAAACGTAGACTAGAGAGACTCAATTTTGCATCCAAATATGGCAAAATACCTTACCGGCCATTTCCTACTCGGTGTACATTCCAGCTATACTTAGCGTAGTAGGTCGAATTGGGTTGACCTGGGGTTGGCATGGGGGGACCAAGCCCCAACCCTTTGGTTTCAGGTAGCTTTGAGGCGTTCGCACCGTCCGTGCCTCACAACCTCTCGAGCCCGCGACTAGGGTAATTGAACATGTCGTAATGATGGTAGGTGCGTGCCCATGCAGCCACATACCAGCCGTTGGGTATTCTCCCTAGGTACGTTGCCCATGCCGCAGGTACCCGTAATACGACAATCGGGTTGTAGATGACGTTCTTTGTTATAGGGTCTTTGTGTATACCGAAGCTCGACCTGCATATGAGTGAGAAGTAGCGACCTGAGGGTCGTTTCAGAGGTAGAAGTCGGCGGGGGGGGTGCCTGAGCAACTTCATGAGGGCCACAGCTCAGATTGTTAAGTAGACCAAGTGGATTACGAAATCTTCAATGCGACAAAACGGTCTCGCCTGTTCAGTTACCGAAAGCCTGGTATCCGGCAAAGACAGATGCCGCAGAGAGTTTCGAATCGTCGATTTCGAATTAGGTCTGCAAATTCTGAGAAGTGGATCGATGGCCAAAAACAGATGCAGGAACGGGGATTTCCAATCGGCCAGGATGTAGCTAGTGCAGGAGCCAGGGCCGTGGATCAAAGGCAGTTGAGCGTAACAACGTGAGATCTGCAGCACGGTCAATCTGCCCTGGTGACGTGCACTCCGGGGCGTGCACATTGGGGGAGCCGCAAGGACTCAGTATGGGTGGACCTCCAACTTCACGAGGTTTAGAAACAATTTGAAACTGTATCATAGGATCGGGATGATAGTGTTTCGATGTGCGACAAGACCGCCAGGCCTCGCTTTTGTTCTTACCAAATTGTGGCGGCATTGTCTTCAGTCTCATATGTGTGGTTTGATCCTGGGCATATGGCCAACGCAGAGACTCGTCATCCTATTTCGGAACGGATTGCGCTTTTTGAGTTACTGGTAGGCGTCGGTTGCCACAAACCTGATGTTGGAGGTGATGCCAGAAAGTGTGCGTTCACGATGGCAGCGTGGTGTTGAGGCTTGCCCAGGCGCGCACGGGCGGTTAGCGCGTCGTACGAACAGCTGTGGGTCAGCGCCGGACATGGGCAGCTCGCGAGTCTCTGGAGTGACGACTGTACTAGCACAGCACCGACGAGATCGACGCTCCTATTGTCGTGTTTGCTGTTGCAATTCTCTTGCCTAATTTCGCACCCTACACCAGTGCCATGGATCCCGACGCGCCCATGGCCAATGAGCCGGAGCCAGGAGTCTTCCGTTGGATCATGGGCTTCCTTCTAGTCGGCGCATGCTGGGGGCTTACCACACCGTTCATGCGCAAGGCTGCCATGTAAGTCTCAAGCTCCGTCATGTACCGTCTTCTGCCTATCGTCGTCCTTTCCAGAACGCGTCCAGAGCTAATTCGCACTCGCCAGGAACTACACGCCGCCCCAACGCCCCGCCCTCACCGATCCAAACAACTCCTGGCTGAAGAAGAAGGTCTTGGGCGTACTCTATGCCGTAATTGGCGTCTTAAGCAGGCCAGCGTATGCGATACCGCTACTGCTGAACGTCACCGGCAGTGTGTGGTTCTTCATATTGATAGGCAAGGCGGAATTAAGTCTCACGGTGCCAATTACGAACTCTCTTGCGTTCTTGTTCACCGTGTTGGGAGAGTGGTGGGCAGAGAAGAAGGTCATCAGTCGAGGTACGTTGTCTAATCGTGTATGTACGAGGGATATGGGCTAACACCAAGCAGACACCTGGATAGGCATGGCCTTTGTACTCGGCGGGATCGGATTATGCGTCCAGAGCAAATCTTGATCAATCTACCTAGAATTCTACATGGTCGTTACCAGTCCCTCGCGAGCCTGTTGTTCGTATCCGTCCCGTTCGCTGCTGTTACTCCCTTGGACAATCTCGAAAACCCTTGTTCTGGTGGCTGCAACCAGTTCCTCTCGTCGTACTTCTCCTCGCCCTCAATGACGTGGAACGTGTAGATGTTGCGGCTCTTACTGCTCGTATTCTTTTCCGACTTGTGGAGTATGTTGCCATGGATTAGCACTAGAGTCCCGGCCTTGACCTCACCCATGTCGTATCTTTCCTCCTTCTCGACCATCTCGTACTCTTTCTCGCCGTTTGTTTCCTGCTTCAAGCTTTTTGGAAATCTGGCGCCCTCGTTGTCGATGAAGCCAGTGCCGTTGCCTGTTCTTACAAACCTCTTCTCAATGGCAGCACGCTTATGACTCCCAGCAGCGAAGCTCAAACATCCGTTCTCCTGTGTCGCATCCTCGAGCGCATACCACCATCCAACCGCGCTTGGCGGATCCGTGTACAAAAAGGTGCTATCTTGGTGTGGTGGCACTGCGCCGCCTATCTCTGGCTGTTTGCAGATGACCATGGATTGCAAGACACGAGGGTCGCGGAAGCCGAGGGAGGAAGCGATGGCGGCGTTGCGGGCCGACAGGGACATGCTGCGGAAGGAGGGTGAAAGCTCGTGGAGGTAGTGCCCGATCTTGTTGATGGCACGGTGTTTGGGTTTTGTCAGCGAGCCAGACTTGTCGAAGGCGTCTGCTCAGATGTCAGTGCATGGTCTTGAGTTTCCGAACGCGCTACGTACCCTCTTCAAAGAAGAACCGCACCTTATCGCCGGATTCTAAGAAGTAGCTGTCTCCAACGTGATCGGCGCCGTCGTCGCCACCAGTTGAGAACTTGGTCATGGGATGGTCGTCGAGTGAGAAGTCGTTGAGCATCTTGTTCGTGTCTTCCACCAACTGCTTGACCGTTTCTTGCGACAGAGCATCCGGTATCAGTAGGTAGCCGTTCTCATTGAAGAAAGCGAGCTGCTCGGGCGTGAGCCCTTCGGCGGTTTGCGCAGTCATGACCGGATGAAGAACTGGAAATACGTATACAGTGTGGTATGAAGGATTTTGCAACGACAGCTATGTACAAGTGACTGTTCCCCAGCTATCGCGTGCAGGCCGTGGGTAAGCGTCGGAGTTGGCCGTAGCCTGGCGCGATGCCATGTGCTGCCCCGCTATCGTCCCGCGTTGTCGGGCGTAATTCCGCTCAGAACCAAGCCAGCCAGCCTCATCCAAAACGCGTCGCGATGTGAGCAGTCCTCGACCCATCCATCGCCCCCATCCGCGGCCCCATCAACGATACCCACCACTAGCCATCAAAGATCCGAGCATCTGGTCACAGGTCCTTCAACCCGCAGCGCCACGAAACGATAGCTCGTCCTGCTGGCTCATCCCCAGCAATAAAGAGGCACGACCGGGCCCTGGCTTCAATACTACGCGACTTATACCCACGCTAACGACGACTATGGTCACATCGCAATCCCGAAAGACAGGAGACGACCACACCGAGATGCAGGGAGATGAAATGTCGGGTCGTGTAACTCCAGAATAGCTCACCCAGGCAGCAACGACGCCATGACCCCGACCCACGAAGGCTGTCACCCTTGCGTTTGCGGCTCTTACGACCCTGCACGTGCACACTTCCCACACCGAGGAGACGACTGTTGGCTGAAACAACACGTGGAGGCTCAGCGGGCTCGCATCCCTCCGCCCGTAGCTGGCCCTTCACCTAGCCATGCATGACATAGGGCTGATGTGTAGCGGGGAACGCCCTCAGGCCCAGAGACAAACAACCTCATCGTATCCCGACTGCATGTACCTGGGCGGCATGAAACAACAGGGTCTCGGGTATATGGAAGCCATGGCTCCGAGGGCTCACCGTCTCTACTAATGTTGCCGAATACAACTTGAGGGATGCGATGAACAAGGGCCTGCTGAAATACGCTACTTTCTCCTCCACGTGCCCTGCGGAATCATGTCTCCTCCTTAAATCGGGTGTTCAGACTTCCAAGGTTCGCTTCCTCGGTCACGGCAGCCTGGACGTCTACGTTCAAGATTGGCTGAAGGCTATCGCGGCTGATGGCAAAACGGGAGTACCGCTCGAATCGACTTGCGAATAAAGGTAGCTCCTTCAGTCACGTTGATTGGCTAGCGCACCTGACCAACCCTTGTTGTTGCTATAAACGCAACAAAGAACCTTGACTCGCGCGAGTAGCACGCCAGACTCTCCTACAGTTACCTCGAAACCATGAAAGGAATAATCGTGCTGCCAGCTAGGAGCTATGTTTCGTCTTCAAAAGGATGAGCACCTGCCAACTGAGGATACATTAGCCAGTTTTTGTCAGATCAATGACGTCCATGCCTCCGACCTACAGGACAACGATCGATATAAGCACTCCATAACATTGGATCCTGTCCATCAGATGGCACGGCAGCTTCCATGCATCATATGTATAGCGTCATGGCAGGGCTGGTTGTCACACGACGTCTTTTGAGAGCTCGGATACCAGGAAAGGGTTTCATTGCTACATCAATATGATCATACCATCCGAAAACCACGCCTCCAGAAAGTTGCTCGACAAGAGCACCGTCTGTCATCAAAATCCCATCCGTTTCCTTACACTGTACCTCAATACCTCGGATGATGCAGTACTAAACATTGCGAGGGACGAATGTCATGACGACTTTTCCGAATGGCTTGATGAGCAGAAGCATCGAGCACCTCTCCAAAACGGTCAACGAGCATATATGATGATGATTCACGTCGTTCTGGGCTGGAGAGCTGTTGCCTTATTCCCTACATGGACACATGCTCTGACATGCACTGTCCGGTCTTGGCACTATACTGCATAGCATCACCCTCGTCGTTTCGAGCATTCAGCAACTTGACGCTTTGCCAAAGAGAGCGAATGAAGTCGAGAAGTTTCTGCAACATCGCTGAGAGGTGCTTCAGAGGTTGCGGCCTGAGTTCTACTGCTGACGGATTGTGGATACCTCGGAGGCTCTTCGGCCATTTGTCAGCCTATGCGACGAGACAGTCAAATGGCGTTAAGAGCCAAGTCAGGCGTACCGGAGCCTAGTCATATTATACGAGCAGCCGGCTACCCAACCTACGAATAGATTAGGGCAACCTGCTGTTGGCATATACGAGACGACTGAACGGTCGGTCGGCACGAGGTACGCTAATCAAGAAGTCTACGTGGCTAAACAGTGCGTCAGCCTAAGTAAGTCGGCATGCAAGGTATACGCTCTGTGACATGTCTGTGTAACAGAATTGCTGCTATGTACTTGAAAATGCAGGATTTCGATCACCGAGGAGCCTATCATTGCCCCTGGTGGCGTTAGCGAGTGCGCCAAGTCGTGCAAATCTACTTCGTATCACCACAATCGATCACGGCGCGTGCCGTTACTGCATAGCCATGGGAACGGCTACCCGTAGCCACCGGCTTGCCGTTCTGTTACACGGTCGATCATGCGAGGGCAGCTTACACCTCACTCCGATCTTGCAGTTTAATCTGGCTCAGACGGGGTTCAAGAACATATCCCTTATTGCGATGGGCAGTCGTCGTCACTTGAGAAAAAGACGAAAGAACTCAGTCACCGTATTACAATGTACGCGCCCGGATGTTCGTGAGGTTCGAGACATACGCCCGGGCGCGGGTCAGACACCAGGTGCCGTCTACATCAGTCTAGCCTCATATGGCAGACTACGCCTAGGTCTTCCTCTTTCGACTCTCGAGCGTGGGTTCCTTAGTCTAGAGTATCAAATTACTACTGTTTGCGGGAAGTTATTTCTTTTATAGCGCTGGTAGCCTAGTAATGCGGAGCGGCCTAGGAAAGGGCGCCCCTACATGCACAGTACAATCTCTAGAGTTCGAGCGCACTTACTACTAGTTAGGAAACTATAATGTAAATGCACCTTCTAGTTGAACTCTAGGGGTGAGCGAGCGCGTTTGCATACCGCCCGCCTAGCGCGGTCTTAAGATCAGGCAGGCACTTGCAGCACGCAATTGCCTTAGCAGACGCTTTGTTAACTTGCTCAGGCAGCCGCTCCCTCAACCGTACAGTGAAGTTGCCGCCCCGCATTCCCCAACACCTCACTATAACTCACTGCAGTCCCTGACCTCTTACTCGGTACCTTAAAGTCGCACTTGCCAACACCAGCGACTCACACTTGATCCCTACTTCCTCAACACCTGAATTGACGACACTTCACGATATGAACACCTCCACCGATAGTGAGCAGCCATCCATGGCGCCCTCAAGCCAACCCTCTAGCGTGGAGCCCATTGCCATTGTAGGCTTTGGCTTCAAGTTTCCACAGGACATCACAGACGCCCAGAGCTTGTGGAAGCTACTCATGGAACGCCGCTCGACTATGACCGAGATTCCCAAGAATCGCTGGAATATCGATGGTTTCTACAAGGAGCATGGTCACCGTCCTGGTACTGTAAAGAACAGAGGCGGTCACTTCCTCGCAGACGACCCCGCTCGCTTTGATGCTCCGTTCTTCTCTATTCAACCCGCGGAAGCGGAGTGCATGGACCCTCAGCAACGCCTGTTGCTTGAGACAAGTTATCATGCTCTCGAGAACGGTACGTCATATCTCAAAAACTAACTCTACCCGCACTGACGTCTACACGCAGCCGGTATCCCTATGCAGGCAGCCATAGGCACTAGGACATCTGTTCACGTGGGCTGTTTACTTCAAGAGTACAGCCAGATCTCTCAGCGAGATGCCCAGATGCCAGGAGACTACCGTATTGTCGGATCCAGCGGCTTGGCCATGCTTGCCAACCGTTTGAGCTGGTTCTATGATTTCAGTGGACCAAGTATGACCGTCGACACAGCTTGCTCAGGTGGCCTCGTTGCGCTCCACTTGGCGTGTCAAGAATTGTTGGCTGGTAGCGTCGATATGGTAAGTTCATTTTTCGTCTCATCTGCCACATTAACTCCTGGAGCCTACATCGACGTTAGACCACTCACTTTGCATGTTATCATGTCGACGTAGGCTGCAGACCTGTTCAGCCTTTTTTTAGGTTGAAATTATAACCAACACGATTACAGTCACTCGTGGGCGGTAACAACTTGTGCCTACTCCCAGACTCAACCGCTCTCTTGAGCAGCTTGAACATGATGTCAAAAGATAGTGTTTGTTACTCGTTCGATGAGCGCGCATCGGGCTACGCCCGAGGTGAAGGCTTCGGCGTACTCATTCTCAAGCGTCTGGACAAGGCCATTGCAGATGGAGACACCATTCGCGGCGTCATACGATCAACTGGATGTGGCCAGGATGGTAATACCCCGAGCATAACGTCGCCTAGCCAATCCGCTCAAGAGCGCCTCATTCGCGAGACGTATGCGCGCGCAGGTCTTGATCTCGGTGACACTCGCTATTTCGAGGCGCATGGTACCGGTACACCCGTGGGAGATCCTTGTGAAGCTGCGGCTATCAACAACGTCTTCTCCTCTCGAACTCCTGAAGACCCCATCTTCGTCGGTGCGCTCAAAGGCAACATGGGACATCCCGAGGGCGCCAGCGGTATCGCGGGCGTCATCAAGTCGCTTCTTGTACTTGAGAAGGGCATCATCCCACCCAACGTTTACCCCGAGCGTATCAACCCTGCTGTCGCAGCGGCTGGCCCTAACCTCAAGTTCCCACGCGTACCGGTAGCCTGGCCTACAAGCGGCGTCCGACGCGCGAGCGTAAACTCTTTCGGCTACGGAGGCACCAACGCTCACGTCGTTATAGACGATGCGCTGAGCTTTCTTAGCAGCCGGGGACTGAACGGCCGACACTGCACTGAACTCATTCAGGACAGCCAATCTGCGTGTCAACCGGATATCTCCAGTACCATGGAGAAAGAAGGAGATGACGACGATCGTAGCACGGGTACTAATGTATCATCGGAGCCTCTGGCTGATCTCACCCCATTCACCACCACGGACGACCCCAGCATGCTCCTTGGGGAGGTTGGTGGAAATGTCCCGAAACTGTTGATACTATCTGCGTTCGATGA